TTAACGACATGTTCTAGCAAACGTTTCCTAGAAATCGTGCAATCGTTAATGATAAAGTAATATGAAGTATTTTATGATTGCATTTACACATCGTTTCCCATTATTCCATACGGTTAAGTATCTTCATTATGTAGTACGAGAGAAATAAAAAGTAGGTAAAATCGTTAGCGAAAGCAAACGAGAGGTAGAAAGTATTTAACAGAGTAAACGTCGTAATAAGCAGGCAGCGAGGTAACCGGCCAATCGAATACACCGCGTCCGCGTCGTTAACGAAACTCGTTAACGGCGTGGCGGGTCATCGAATATTGACGCCGGGTATTAAGCACATGGGAAACAATTAGAAATTAAACACTTTTGCCTTGGCTCGCAAGTGGCAAGGTTAATTGGCCCTGTTTCCTTGTCACGCGTGACGGCCAGCAATTAATTACTTTCACACGTATCTCGACCCCGGCTCGCCCTCCTACCCAGGTGCGCCGTGTTACCGGCCTTTGCCATCCACTGTTAATTATATGCTCGTTGCGTTATGTGAATACGTAATCAGCTTTGCAATCGGCCGAAATACAAACGTACCGAGGATTCTGTCCGGAAGAAAATTTGACCGCGAAGCATTTCGCAATCAACGTTTGTTTTATTCAACGAATTAAATTCGGAACGTTCTCCATTCCTTTATCACTTTCAAAGAATATCCAGTCTCGAGTGATTTAATTTCTTATAACCGGTCTTTTCTTCCTTTCCTTCCTCTCGTTACAAGGCGGCCCACCTTTTCACTCTAAACACTGGTTAGCATAAAAGACACCGCGTATAAAGTACGGGAATTTCCATGCACGGAGATAAAAAATGTAAATTGATAACAAACGATATTGCTCGCGGCCCGGCAGTAATGCGAGATGTTGCTTGTAATTAAAAAAAAAGGCTACACGAAATATCGCTGCCAATGTAAAACGTGATCCCCTCGGCAACGTTGCACCATTGTGCTATCTGAACGTTTAAAAACGAATTAGCGAAGCTTGTGAAAAATTGGTTATAAAGGTTTTTATGGTTTTAATCGCAGAAGAGTATCTTGGGTTACGTGTTCAAAATTTCCATTGCTCTTTTCTTTAACTATCATAGATAACATTTTCCTTATAATTAATTAGAAATCCTAATTAATTAAGCAAACCGGGTATCTGAGTCCTCCATGAGAAATGATTGCTTTTTATTTATTACAGTTCTGACGTCGTAAGGAACATGTAAAAAATATATTTGATAAAATGTTATTGCAGTTGACAACGTCAGATTGAATAATTACCAATTACTGGGTGTGTCTTGAGCACAGGAAAAAGTCGCTTCCTTTGACGATAATTTCCGCTCTCCTTGAACTACTCTCCTCCTGTCGCGTGTCACCCCCTGCGCTTCAATATCTGCCAATTGAATGCAACGTGCATCTTCTGCTTCTACTTCTTGATATTCAGCGTAATTTCTGTCGACTTTGATGTACGCGCTGTCTATAGTTGGATACGTGTTTCTACGAAAAATATGCACGCTGCAACGTTTTACAGCAATTTTTTTCTTAACCGGATGACCGTCGGGCACAATTTTTCAACGGCGCAATGTATTTTCGTCTACTTGAATGAAATGATAAATGTACGCTTGCTTTACGTATAGAAATTCGCGTAAGCTATTTAAATTATTAATAGACTACTGACTTTGTACACTTATAAAAATATTTAGCATATGATAGGAAGTTTGTGATTAATGTATAGAAACATGTACTCATACGAATATTACAATACTTATATGGTAAAAGAAATTTCTCTAATATAAATGATAGATATAGATAGAGTTATTTATGTTTTATATTGCATAGATATTCGCGGTATAATTATGCATATAATTAAATACTTCAGTTACCTGAAATCTGACAGGGTTTTGCTAAACCTTAAATGTACAATATTTTTGGTGTAACTGCGTCGTACAATTAAAAATACGTAGAGTCATATATTCTCGGGAACCCGATTTTTGGTGGAACTTTTATTGTTCTAATCGGGAGTTATAGCCATCAATTTATCTTGCAAAATGTGTTCCCGGTTCCGGTTAATTTTGACAGAAATATTGTTATGCGATACGACTACTCGACATTCTAATTATCTACGTACATAAATTCGCAAACTCTTGCTAAATAATGAATTATTTAGATAATATCAGTCAGTAATTTTAAAGTAATAGAATATCATCTTTAAGTTACGCTTTTGTAAAATCGCTAGGTTTCTCGAGTATTTGAAATTTAACAGGAGAACTGATAAACGCATAGTTTGAAAATAATTAGAGAGATAAGGCTGTAGGGTTTTTGAATAAACTGGGTTCGTATAATAGAATTGAATACAAGTAGAAGTTGCACGGGCATACATATTGTGGGAACGATAGAATTTTCAAGCGAGTCAATAGAGGAACGGGCGAAGAGTGTTTGGACCGAGTACACACACTTGGGGTGGATGGTGTGAACGAGGGGTGCGTGGCCACCCAAGGTTTTAGATGGACGGGGCTGAATGTCTTCTAGAAATGTCTGTCTATAGCGTTTGCCTGAATAAAGTGAAAGGATGGAGAACGAGACAGAATGTGTGCATGGGTGCACGAATAAATGGTCGTGAGAGATGCGTGCACGAGTCAATACATACTACAAAGTTGGCAGCTCGCGGACTTGGTACGGGAAGAAAGTCGAGGGAGTCTCGGTGAAATTTTCGCGAGAGAGAATATTCGTAAAAACGATTAATACGCCGGCGCTAATTAATATGAATTATGAAAATATTTGACCCACTTCGTGAAATTCCCGACTCTACATTCTCGTCATCACATTATTTCTTAATCAAGGTACTACATATCTTGATCTACTATACATACTCCGTACGGTCACGTCTGTATGAGGCCGATATGACAAAATCTACTGCAACAGTTCCATCACCGCGACAAAAGAAATATGGCTGCCCGGTTTAAGTGGGTTTCTTAAATCTTAATTGAAATGTTAACTCTATTCATTTGCATAATCCAGTTGCCATCGCCTACATTAGAGGTGGGATTTTCCGTTGAAAAAAGGGAAACGAAGAACAAAAAAATAAATTAAAGAAAGGGATTAAAAGTTTGAACAGATTTTTAAGAACTTTATCTTCAATCAAGATTTCTCAAAAACTTATCTAATTGGAAGTCCGCACGAAGTTTTAAAACAGTTTCGTCAATATTTAAATGCAATTACAAGTTTTACATAATATTTGCCATTAATAATAGGATCGAATATAACACAATATTTCATATAATATTTAATGCAATAATTAATATTAATTGATACTATATTTTTTATAATGGTTGTTACGATACTTGATGTAGTAATTGATACATTGCTTCATGCAATGACTGGTATAATATTTGATACAATAAATCGTATAATAATAAACCAAATAAAAGTTTAAATCGGTTCACAGAATCGTGCATAATGTGATCCATCTGTATCATGTAGTAAACACATTTCACATTTTATTAAGGATGACGCAGATCGGAGGTTGTAATTCTGAAACAATCACTTCCGTCATTCTAAATTCCGCCTCTCGTATTCTCATAATGTCAGCTGAGACTGACTTCGACCTACCTACCTATCCAGCTACCTTCTACATCGCCTTCTTCATACTTATCGCGTAGTTTCCCGGTACTAGGTCGTGATCTTCTTAGATGCGTGGAATTGTCGCAACGAAACTCGTTATCTCGTGTCTGGAAACAGAACAAGCCCACCTAACCACCCCCGTCGGCGAATAGAAGACGACAGGTGTTCATCAGCCGCGTATATTCATTTCCGTGATAAATAAAAAATCTTAATTAAATTCATACATTTCATGCGTTATTCTCGTTTCCTGATAAATTTTCGCTGCACTTTTTTTTGCAATTTCCTGCTGAAGTTTTCCATAACAAATATTTCATACGTACGATAGAACACCTCATTCGTGTATCATGGTGCTTTTCATATGAATTTCCCTTTGACACGTGTGAGATGTGGAATAAATCTGCTTTAATTTCCTTTAAATATTTTTGCCCATTATTTCAGTGCTTTTTAGTAGGATTAATAAACATTGTTCCGTAACTGTATTCAAAAAGAAATTGTTCACGTGAAGATTGTACGATCCTCTTTTAAAGATGAACAACGTATTCCAGGAAGGAGGAAGTTATTAAATATTTATGGCCACAAGCATAATGCAGTAGTCGGGTATTCCCTGATGAATCCTTTAGGCAATCGATAGTATTTTGATAAGTTATGAGACGGATAAAAGATTCAGCAGAGGCTTCGAAATTCTGCTGAAACCGAGTGCTCTTCGCAATAGTATTAATTTGATTAGAAAACTGAAAATTTGTATAATTGGAAGTGTTCTAGCCTGGGTTAGATTCAGCGAAGCTCGTTACCCTGGTACCCAGGGTCATCATACATCTGGTCTTTTCGTAACTGGGAGAGCAACAGAAAGGAACCGTGTCCATGTGTCCGAGCAAGAAAACCCGTGAAAGGTTCCCAGCTACGGAACTTCTTGGAGTAGGAGGGAAAGGTGAAAACGCGACGTGTGCGAATAGCCTGAGAACGTGGAGAAGTAGGAAAACGAAAACGCAGAAGGGGCACCCCGAACGTGTGTGTAGCGGGGAAATAGGAGTAGGAAGGTCCGGAAAAAGCGAGGAGAGTAGACTGATAGAGAAAAGGAGGCAGTATGAACGGGGTTGAAGGGGTATGTGTAAGAGAAGCGAGAGAACCGGGCGAAAACGGGAGTCCGGGTGACGGTGGAGGAGGAGAGGAGGAGAGATTTGTGAAGGTACGAGAAAGCAGCAGAGGTAGCAGCAGTGGCAGCGGCAGTGCCCGGGCATCAGGGCACACGGTTTGGTTGGCGCAGGCGCTGGCCGGTGTAGAGACTGGTTCCTGGTGCGGGCTGCAAAAGCGGCATAGAGAGACGAGACGAGGGGGTGGGATGTCAGAGGGTGCCCGTAGGAAGTTTATCGGCGGCGAGCGGCGGCGGGTTGCCTTCGGAGGAGGGGTTGTAGGTGGACGGTAGGTGGGAGAGCAGGAGCATACTCCGTACACCGAGGATTTCCAGGTAGCAGACAGTCTACGGCCCGGGACAGAGGGACCAGGACCAGCCTCGCGAAGGAGCGCTTGTCGTGGACCTTCTCTCTTATTACGTGCCACGCACAGACAATTCAATTACCAAGTGTTTCAAGCATTCGATGTTTACAATTTGTGAAATGAAAATTTGATCTCCTTAATGACTGTTCCACACGTGGCAATTTTTCTTAAATCGGTGCTCCTACGAGGTTCGAGAGACGGTTATTATCGGTGTGATCGCTCTTACTAGGATTGTAATTCGGATATCGGATTGGAATCGGACCCGGGAAGAATCAGTGGTGGACGAGGACAATGATCGGAGTCGTTCGGCCGGGCACTGCTCGGAGCACGTGCCTCGCACGCAGAAGGCGCTCCGAGCGGCATCAACTGCGCTAATCAAGGACCGATTCGCGAAACAAAGTGAATAAACAACGAGATTTAAACAGAACATTCACACGCGTGATCAGCGTCAGGATCTCCAGTGAGGTTTAACGGCTTCGATCCCGCGGTCCCTCGTCAGGGGTGAACCGGCGACCAGGAAATGCCAGCAGTAGCTCGTGCCGTTCACGCTTCGAAGACGATCTCGATGATCGTTTTGTTAACGTCACTCCTGACGTTCATCGGTTTCGACGGCATCGGACACGTCAACGGGCACAATGTTGACCGATCCACCTTCCATCAAGGTAAAATTACCTACACTTTACAATTTACGTTCATTTTATTGATACTGCATAAACAGAAAACTATCCGTTACCGAACTCCATCGATTCGATCAAATGAAATCAATTTTATACATTGATTAAGAACGGAATCTTAGAATAGAAATTGGCTCCGATATCACGTGCAGGTGACGCACACTTCATTCTCAAGACAGAATTCACTCAATAAATTATTCATAATTTCATTCCAGAGCAAGTACGTTCTTAGATTCCGCTTCGTGAGACGTGTTTATGAAAACACGAATTTGCATAAACATCCGCAATCCTGATTGTCGATTCAGGCTAGTCGTTGGGCATCGATCAAAAATCGATTGTAAGAGATCATTCAATAACGATGAAAAATGCTTGATTAACCGTTATTAAGAATCCTACTAAGGTATTCACGTCGAGTCGCGGGTAACATAATATTTTAACCAAGTTACGACGTAATGAATCGATAAAGAGGTTTAGTGTGTAATACCCTAAAAATAGTTAATGAACGCAAAGGCGCGCTTTTCCTTTTTCTTTTAATAGCTTTGACGCGAATGTAAATATCTTAACGATGAAATAAACCGCGGCGATTAACTCGCACGCGAATGTTGGCGAGCGTAAACAAATCCATGCATGGAACACATTTTCCAAAGTGGCGAACTTTGAACGCGCGAGGAAATAGAGAAAAAGGAAATCGAATAGACTGGTTTCGTTTGCAACCGGGAAGTCGCGTACCGAGCCATTTGCGAGTAACGAGAACGCGCACGGAATACATGGTAACGCGTATTGACGGGTGAAAAGCGCGAAAATGAATTTTTGACAGGCCATCGGTAAATGTCTATCGCTGCGACTCGACTCGGAAGCTCGACAGTTTTTCCGTGCCACCGCGTAAGAGAGACCAAGCCAAAATCTCTCTGTTCAAGCCTTACACACCCTATGACGACTGGCAGTGACGATCGACTGCCAATTATTATAGTGTTTCATCACTCTCCGATTGGCGGCTTAATTGATTTTGCGATTAGTTCGCTTGTTGAAGTTTGCCAAGTTAGCTAGCGCTATTCAATGGAGTTCCAACACTGTTTTTGCGTAACGAACTTGTCTAATGGGCATTAAATTGAGGTGACAGATACTGCGGTTGATATCAAGTGTCATTTATTTATAGTACTATCTGCTAAAGATTCGATCTCCGTAAGGATATGTTTCATTCACGTCGGATAATTTTAACGATATAATTGGAAGGCAACAAATGTGGCGAACGATGGTGAAGGCTTTATAAGGGGATTACGAGACGTGAGTAGTATTAGAAACGAGGCAGACGCAAAAACATGTTCGGTAGAAAAACACGAAAATCGCTGTTAATTAAGAGCAAATAGCAGTTGGATGGATAGAAAATTACGAACGGGTAAATGTCGTAATCCGCGGTACGTAGGTAAAGCGGGCAGCTTAACGAACGATCCAATCTCTCTCATTCTCCTAACACGTAAGGTCAACCCGAGGCAGGCCAAAAAAGATCCAAAATGTACTCCCCGGAGGCGATCGTTCAACCCTTCAACGTTTGGTGCCCACGGGCAAAAAGTCATTTCACAGCCGTTCCACTTTTTTTCACCGCAGAAACAAAATATACCATATGCTGCTGCTTACTGGGACCGAGTTTAACGCCTTCGCGCCACCCACCCCTCCTGGTTCTTTGTCATTTTTATTTTGCTTAAACGTACCCAACCGCGAGTAATTAATCGACCCGCTGGATCTCGTTACAAATGGCGAATAAATTTCCTTCCCCTATTGTCAGCGTGACTCCTTTCAAATTAATCTGCCAATGCTTTTTAATAATCTTGAGTATAAATTGAAACAACTTTCGCGTAATTATTTTATTATTTTAAAAAACAATTGTTCTGTAAAATTATTCGGTGCGTGAAATGTGAAACTTCCGGACGGAATTTCGTTCGCGTTTTGAAATTTTGTGAAATATGTGACTTGCCAGGTATTCTGGTGATTAAATAATGGACGTGACGTCGTGCAGAATGCGGCAGTGGGGTATTACTTTTCTATTTCGACATTTACTGGTATGCGCATGAGAAAATAGGTAATGGAAGAAAGTTAGCCTGTCAACCTGTCATGGGAACTTTTGCGGAAAATTAGGCTTTATCGTTCCGAAGACAACTGGAAGTCGTATCGCGAAGTTCGCGACGTTCAAGTTCCCCAGCTTGAAAAGTCTCTTACCCGTAATTCCCATTTACCCGCTCTCCGAACTCGATTTATTTATTTAACAATACTCGTTCGCATTCCTGTCCCGTTCTAACAATTCCACGACCCGAAATTGTAGATGTAATGCTTTCATCTTTCACTTTGATTAGAGATTAAATACTCATGGCTTTCGAGCTTCTGCCCCAATTATTTTATCCGAACGTGTATCAGTCCTGTCCTTGCAACATGGACATGTAACCTGTTAGCAAACTCAATTAGGAATGTTTTTTTTTAGAAAAAAAAAACAGTATGGAAAGTAGTATTATCGGCGTGTACGATCGATTATGTCGACATAATTTCGATTCTGTCTAATAGTTACGTTGTAATAAAACAGTCACGAATGAAGTATAACTTTTATGACGGTTTTATTGCACGCCTTTTACGAGGAGACACACACTCGATCTGAAAAATGATAGGTTATTGCAAACGCGAAAAAGTTTTATTTATAGAAACCGTTTGTCAAACAAAACCATGAAATCGTTCATAAACCCGAAATACTACCAAAAAGAGAGTCGCTCGCGCACGGTTAAGCTTCTTTTCATTCGCTGCGTTACGCTATGCGTCCTCGTTATTTTTTTTCACGGGGTAACTTTTTGTCAAGCTTTTGTGCACGCGCTGGTTTCCCGTGTAAGGGCAAGTTGCGTCGTAAGACGGTGGTTTACACCGTCACATTAGAAACGCTGCTGGCTGGTAAGGTTACGAAGTAGGAGAGGGTTTTCGAGAATGGGAGAGGGTGAGAACACGGGGACGCGGTCACGAGAAATCGCATGCAGCGCGACCTACTTCCGGGGAACAGTCGGAATTCGGGATTCGTTATTAAGAAAACTTTGGCGCCGGCTGATGGTATGAATTTTCTCCAGGTCTCGAGGGTAAAACTCCTTTGCGGCTTGTCAAATTTATTTTTGTCGCGAGATTAGACGAGGTTCCCCTTCTCCATCTGCATTACGAATTCTTTTTTTCTTCTTTGAAACGACGCTATCATAGCAGAGAATTTATCTTCGTGTCCCTAACAAAGTTAATCCGTCGTGTTGTAATTTACTTCAGTTTGTTGAGCTGATGAGTAAGTTTTATAATTTAATCAAACGTAAAAGGAGATCTTGTTTGGTCAACGATTTAATTGCATTTAATTGCAGTATAAAAATAATGAATTTCACAGAGTGTCCAGGCAAACTTCAATGTTTATACAATAAATAGAGCGAAGAGATAAAAAGAATGGCGGTACGGAATACAACAGAGCAAGTAGTACAGATCAGTAATAAGTCAACCACAGCTCTTTCTTTCTTACACAAATAAAATTTCACATTTCTACGTAATTTATTGTAACAATAAGCGTCAAGCTATTGTAAAAAAAACAATTTTAAATATCAAATGAAATATTAAATAATTTCATAAGTTTTTTCCTCGGAAGCTCAGTACAATAATGGCCTATGAAATCTGTAATATCTCACGGTTTATTGGACGTCGTTCGCAATTAGATTCGTGAGTTGCCCGTTTTGTTTTACAATGCGAAATCAGTTTGCGAATTAAGGCTGACTACTTAATAAGAACGTTGATGAAGAAATTTAATATCGGACGGTATTACGTTTCGCGTACACAGAAGGTAGCCTTGTTCAGGGAATTGCATGTTAAAGATAACGTGCATTCTGTACACTTCGATGAGAAACCTTGCTCCTCTTTATTAATTTCGAACCGGGGGCAAAATTTCATTGAACTTTACGACGAATATGCATACTCCTAAATCCTAGTGTCAACGCAATAAGAAACGAATTACTCCTTCGTTTTACTGTGGAATAAAATTTATCGTGATATAAAACAGCTTAAAATATTGCCGTATTCGAGTTTTTATGATACGCCGATTCTATGGACTTGCTGAGAAGTCAAGCACGTATTCTTATTTGAATTTTCATTACTCGATTCAATCCTTTCTTCTTTGTAATACGCATCTTTTTCATTAGACGCTTTATGGGAAAAAATCTGAACGCTTACGTCGCTCTATTCATCTTAATTTCAATTTCTAATTAAACGATGTGATTATCCTCGAGCAACCGATGTAAATTAGTTTCTTATTCTTGGAAGTCGTGTGACACTTTCCAAGGGGTGGGAGGAATATTTCAAGCTAGCCTGCAGGGTAGGAACTTTGCACCTCTGCCAGTGCAACTCTATACCTCTCCAAATTTACTCCTGGCATTCGAAGCAATTCGCATAATCTTGTACTCTGCCCTCGACTTTGTTCCTCTTTCAAGGCTAAATCCAACCGCTGCACGAAAATCAAATTACGGCCAATCTCCAACATTTTACATAGAATCAAGTCGTCTTTTACAATCATTATTATTACTATAAAAGTACAGTTGATATGTAAAATGTTATATTACAAATCTGACACTTTATACAATTATGATAATTTAGTAGACAGCGATTGGAATAAAGTATACACACAGTTTTACTTGCACACGCGTTTCGTCAATATTTAATATTTGTGTGTATATTTTCCAACAGGTCTCCATGAACTAAATTTTGATTGGAAATTTTTGTTAAAATAGTGCACGAGCTCTGTTTTTAAAGTTCGTTGGCGATTCCCTCTTGCAGGTAATTGATTTTACATTATTCGTTGAATACAGACCCCACTTCACGGTTTGTGGTCATCGCGCTGCTCAATTTTTTATCATTTTTATCCGTGCTTCCGTGTGTGAGCATTCGCGGTTTCACGGTGTAAATAATACTACAATTTCTCACCTGCATTAATTGTTATT